TTTGGCTTTCGATACTCTACTGACGAATTTTTTTAACGCTGTGGGTTTGTCTAGAAGCACGGCCGTGCCTTCGAAAAAAACTGAATTGCAACTTCCCCTTTTTTTAAATCTTTATCCCGCCATTTGAAAGATGTCCATTTTTGAGGCGTCGTTTTTTTCTTTGTCACTTGAAGCATAAGAGTCATTTTCGGAGTGGGGTCCTGAGTGGAATTTGTACATAGCTTCATCGTGGCGATAATATGGTCTTACTCCTGAACTGCGATTCAGGGATCGATGAAATTTTTTCCTATCCCTGCGAAGCTTAAATTAGGGGTTGCCAGCCTTGGGGTACCAGCTTCTTCTCTTGAGCTTCATGCAATGAAAGGTTGTTTGTCCCCACCCCCTACTAAATTTGTGGGGGGCAACGTTTGGGAAAAAGGCTCATTCGTGTGGCACCCGGTCCCTCTCTACAGGGAAGGGGTTCCGTGGAAGTACGTTGACCCCCCCGGTCCTTTATCAACAGGGGATAAGGGGTTTCCCTAGGTGAGTACCAAAAATGACACCCTCCCTTCAGTCTATCAGGGGGAAGGGGGTTTCCCTGGATGGTAGCTGATGACACCCCGGACCCCTCAGTCATATCAGGGATAAGGGGTTCCGTAGGATGAGTAGCAGATGATGACACCCCGGTCCCTTCAGTCATATCAGGGGTGCAGGGAAGCAGTGGCAGATGGTGACAACCTGTTAGTCTTATAAAAGGTGCAGGAATCCGAAGAAACAGTGGCAGATGACGAAACTCCGTAGAAATAGGGTTGTGACTCATGATGGGGACAATAGGTGCTTCAAGAACGGAGGATGATGGTGACACCTTTACTCTGTTATTCTCATCAGGGACGCTGGGCTTTAAAGAAACAGGGCCGGAGGAGGACACCCCTTCAGTCGTATCGAGGGTGTAAGGCTTCAATGAAACAGGGTCGGAGGAGGACACCCCTTCAGTCTTATCGAGGGTGTAAGGCTTCAATGAAACAGGGTCGGAGGAGGACACCCCTTCAGTCTTATCGAGGGTGTAGGGCTTTAATGAAACAGGGTCGGAGGAGGACACCCCTTCAGTCTTATCGAGGGTGTAGGGCTTTAATGAAACAGGGCCGGATGAGGACACCCCTTCAGTCTTATCGAGGGTGTAGGGCTTTAATGAAGCAGGGCCGGATGAGGACACCCCTTCAATAGATCTTGGCTTAAGTGTTCTAAAAGTAAGACTGAAACGGTAGCCTTGGAAAAGAGGAGATTTGCTACCGGGAGCTATACGATGGAAGTACGCTACCTGTGACTCAGGGTCCATAACAAACAACGAATTAGACAGAAGCTGTTGACTGAACGAGGGGCGGTTCCTTTTACACGTGGCAAAGTCCATGTAACGTGTAGCCCCAATAGATAGTGTTGCAATTTTGGCAGATTTGTCCAAGTGCCGTTCATCGTCCTTATGATATGGTAGGATGGTAGAGGAGTCTTTATAAAAGTTGACCAATATGCTGTTAAAGCTAGCTGACAATGTAACATTTACAATGGACAAAATAGTTTCTAGTATAGGCTCTGAGTGAATGGGGATAGGACTTAGATGTTCAGTAGCCCTATTGTAAACATATCTATCTTTGCCGAAAAGAAGGACCTGCGATGAGTTGACACCCTGTCTAATGAAAAGACCTTGTTTAACTTTTGATAGTAAAAGTTCCTCAACATGTTCAGCAATTTGCACAGGGAGTAGATTTTTGTAATAGGCTAACCTTGTATGAAGCCATTCCGGACACTTGGACGAAATATATGAAGCAGGTGCGGGTGCAGCAGGAGCAGGTGCAGCCGGAACATGAACAGGTGCGGGTGCATCAGGAGCATATGCAGGCGTATCAGGTGCAGCATGAGCAGGTTTTGGTGTATGGAATTTAGCAGGAGCAGGTACGCGAGCAGGTGGAGCAGATGCAAGAGGAGCCAGTGCAGCAGATGGAGTAGGTGCAGCAGATGCAGCAGGTGCAGAACGAGCAGGTGCAGCAGTAGCAGGAGGAGCAGGTGCAAGAGGAGCTGGTGCAGCAGATGGAACAGGTGCAGCAGGAGCAGGTGTAGTAGATGGGGCAGATGCAAGAGGAGCCGGTGCAGCAGGTGTAGTAGATGCAGCAGTAGCAGGAGGAGCAGTAGCAGGAGATGGAGCAGATGCAGAAGTAGCAGGTGCATTAGGTGCAGCAGGAGCAGGTGTAGTAGATGCAGCATGTGGAGCAGGTGCAGTAGGAGTAGGTGCAGCAGATAGAGCAGGTGCAGAAATAGCAGGTGCAGCAGTAGCAGGAGGAGCAGGTGCAAGAGGAGCCGGTACAGCAGATAGACCAGGTGCAACAGTAGCAGGAGGAGCCATTGCAGCAGATAGACCAGGTGCAGCAGTAGCAGAAGGAGCAGGTGCAGGAGGTGCAGAAGGAGCAGGTGCAGCAGGTGCAGCAGGTGCAGAAGGAGCAGGTGCAGCAGGTGCAGAAGGAGCAGGTGCAGCAGATGGAGCAGGTGCAGCAGGAGCAGGTGCAGCAGGAGCAGGTGCAGCAGGAGCAGGTGCAGCAGAAGGAGCAAGTGCAGCAGGAGCAGGTGCAGCAGGAGCAGGTGCGGGAGGAGCCGGAGGTGCAGGTGTTGGTGCAGGAGGAGCCGGAGCAGCAGAAGCTGGAGGAGCCGGAGCAGCAAATGGAGCAGGTGCAGAGGCAGGAGATGGAGAATAACCCGGAGTTAAATCCCACAAGCTATTAGACTGATCAGGAAATTGTGAGGGTAAAGGGGATGCAGGGATCAGTGAACTGTCAACTAGATAACGGAGACGAGTGGGGATACTAGCAAAACCATTAAAATAGCAGTGAATGTTAGCCTTTACAATTTTTTTAAACAAAATGTTACCTGTGTAGCTGAAATGTAAATTATCTGTACGCTGGATATAATTGAAAGCATCATTAGGAGTAAGGTGAAAAGGGTTTGAAACTAATACGAAATTAAATTTATTACGTAAAGAAACCAATTCAGCGTTAAATGCATTAATTTTAGAAAGAAAATGTGATCTTTTACAGTTAGGATAATCAAAACGAGGCAAAACAATATTCACAAAAACAGTAGCCTTCGGAAACTTAAATTTCACACAGTTTATAAGGTCAGCAAACATTTCTGCGAACGTAACACTATCACACGAACACCAACCTTTTATGTTGTTAGTTCCCACCATGACGTACACAGCATCTATCTGCGGCAGTTTCCGAGGATTGATGTTGGTTACCTCGTCTGCCACGTGCTGGGTGTCCATACCACGGTAAGAAAAAACATGTAGTCCACGGTATGATTGCGGATATAAACGTGTAGGTTCTTCGGGACGTTCGGAATTAATGTATTTAACCATCGAATCTCCTATAACCACAACCTGAAAAAAATTATTTCTCAATCATCGTGTAATGTAAAGCTCCCACAAACATAAATGAAGTGTAATTTGTACTTGTAATGCTTGTACATCTGTTGGGGTTTACTGTACAACAATCTAGAAAATGTGTACATATTCCTCATATTATAGTAAAATCAAAACATTTAATTACTCACGTTCTTATCCGTATAGACGAACTTCTCAGGAGAGGAGCTGGCGGTGTTGCACTTAAACTGTACGGGTCCCGGGTTAGTTTCCACATCGCCTGATAGTATTAGGCACATCCTGGACCAAACAACAGAAGGAGACAAGTCGCCAGCTGTAGCGTTTACGAGCAGTTCAAGAACCAGGATTGCAGGACTAGATGGCAGTAGGCCAGCAACCTCGAGGTTCTGTAACTGAGCGCTAACAGCTTCAACTGTAGATGTCAAATAAATTAATTGAGCCAAAACCAGATTATAAATTAAATTCAATGTTGACATGATGTTAACGTTGCAAAAAACTTTGAAAAATAAACTCCAAATAAAATTCAACACTCAACACAGGTCCTGAAGCCAAAGCCAAGGTGTTCTGTGGTTGAAGGGCGACCACGAAAAGCTGTTCAGGGTTCATTAGAACCGTCCACAGACTGGGTGTAGAGAGCAGACGACCTATAAATATGTTAGCTATTTATTATACAATGATATCCTCAACAGCCAATCTAATCGAGCACAGAAAAGCTCAAGGAAACGAAACTACAGGTAGGAGACGTGCAATTTCAACCGTAAACGAACTCACCATAACCTACGAGGACTCCAGTGTTCATCGACGACGCAAACATCAGCACAATCAGGACAGAAGTAGCTGCTAAAGCTCCCCGCACGAAGAATGTTCTCGTGAAGGTGTAGAATGAGCTGACACCGTAATCAGAGTGCTTGTAAACAAACGTCAGTCGATTGAATAATAACCAAATGTGTACATTATGACAAAAGTAATATTGCACATTAACCAAACTCCTCGAGGTAAAATCTATTGTAGGCAATAGTACTTGGTTTCCAAAGTAACACAATACCATACAAAACATATCAAAACATTCCAAGAAAAACCCTGTAACAGCAACATTTACCTCATCAAAACAAATATCATATTTTATTATATTATCCGGTGCTAAGTCGGTGGAACATCCCAGTAGAAATAAAATGATTAACAACTTGTACTTCATCAATTAAGATTAAAGGTTCGTAAATTGCAATTGAAAAGAATGGAAACGTAACTTTAAGTGTAATTAGCAGAAAGACTGAATTTGTCGCGCGATCATTTATCTACATTAACGTGACGTCACGCGAGGCAGAGTCCTAAGTAGACCCCTCATCTGTAGGAAGTACTATGCATCAGCCATTAATTTCTGCGCGCGCGCGCAGCTTTTTCGTTGCATGGTAACGGACGGAAGTAAGGAATGACACCATATTCAGACCCGCCTACTGCTATCTCCAAAATCCACGTTTTTCTGCAAAAACGACCATTCGTAACCTTCCACTTTATATTTTTTCAAAATGGTGGATGGAAAAAATACAGCATACGTTTTAGTAATAGTGTACGAATGTGATCAAATAGGACTCACCTGCACCATCGTCACCGAAAAGAAAGGCACACTGCGAGAAATCCTCCAAACAAGTGTCACAAAGTTTATATTCCTCGAACAGAGGGTGAGGGTGTGCCGCCTCCCTCTCTTGACAAGCAACACACACTTGACTGGCAACACAGACTGCACCCCTGAAAGGCTTACTTGCTACATCTAGTCGTTTAATAAAACCAGATCTGCCTCTCGTGTTATAATGATCGGAAGGAGCCCAATCGCTTGGAGGGCCCCCAGGAGTAAATCCGTCTAGGGCCCACTTTATGAGTCGACTCAGAGCAGTTTCGTCTATGTTCACAGAGTCCGGAGCATTGACCTCGGTGTAGTTGCAACTTTCTGCTGCGTCGGACAAGAAATCGTATAACGCAACCCTGTATATCCCTTTTTTAGAAGGCTGGTAAACTTCAGCAAACTTTGTTATCGATACAAGGTCTTTGATATCTATGACAGATTTAGTGCAATCTCCAAACCAGTAAACTAGTCGTTCGTTGGGTAGGCACTCTCGAGGACTCTTATTTGGGTCTGCAATCTGAAATGAGTATAGGTTATACAAAATAGCCCAGACAAACAATAACTCATTAACTTAATCTGACATATTTCTCGACTCGATTGATTATTAATTTAAGTTTGATTAATGTTGGATGAAAGTTAAACAAAGTCAGAACAAAGAGACAATGAGCATTATTGAAAAACTTACAAGTCCAGGCCACCATCCATATCGAACAAGCTTTCCCAGAACAAAAGACCCAACTTCTGACTCCTCAGCAAGTCTGCAACAATCACGTGTCTGCAGATCATTAATCGAGCGTGAAGACAAGGGTGATTTCAAAACCGTGGGAGTAATCGGTGAAGAATAACCGCTGTCTTGGGTCTGTAAGGACAGTTTCCGTACTTTGGGTGGGGTGCAATCATCTGTATTCCAGTCACTACTGGATGAAGGCCTTTCACTATCTTCGCAGAACGTTGGTGGATGCTGATCCGTTTTATAGTCGACTAAAATTTGGGGTATATTGCTCTGTAAAAGATGGCAGCCAACAAAACCGAGTCTTGCCCAGTCAAGCAGCATCAGATCTCTGTCAGGCAACTTGAGCAAATCTGGACGATGGACTTCAGCAAAACTGGCAATGCATTCGATGATCCCTTTCTGATATGCTTCATCAGACTCTAATAAATCGAAATCAACTTTGCAACCATAGTTTAAAAAGGATGATAGTTTACTTCTGGAGGTGATAGTGATACTGGTGTCAAGGAAGGAGTAGCAGATGATATTGAATGGACTAGTCACTTGCATCACTTTACCTGGATGCCAAATCTCGACTCCCTTCAGGAAAATGTAAGACCCCTGAAAAAAGAAGTGGTCAAGAATTGAAGCTGTGCATCCTTGGTCGAATGCAATTACATGATAGATTATATTTAACAATTAACACCAGTTATTATAGCGACATAATGTGGCAATAAAAGTATTAATGTTTTCTGCCAAAAGATTAGATTTAAGCAAAAAATTGGATTGTATTAGCAACAAAGAGTAACAGCTAACACTGTTTGCTGTATCACAAAACAGACATGATGTTATAGTTTACTCTTAATGACAATGATATGATTAGAAAAATACCTCATTGAATTCCAAAGGATAAGTGTATGGTAAAGTACTGTGACTTGCAACCCCTCTATCTCTTCTTCGCTTGCCACGTCTTTTCTTGGACAATGGTGTTAGCTGAATGACTGGAACAGTTGATGGATCCTTGTTCTCCTTGTCACTATCATTGTCATCTTCCATTTCTACATCCAAACCTTCACAGGTTGATAATAGTAATGTGATTTTGTTACACCTTATGTAGCAAAGAAACGTTTTATAAATCTTTACTCCTCTGGGAAGTATGAATAAATTACATTTTTTTAATGTTGTTGTTATTCATGAATAATATTTGATAAATTATTATTTTTAAATTTGATGGAGAAATAGTTACTGTATATTTTTCCATGTAGTGTGATGATACTTTCTAGACATTAGTGATGATGTTATGTCATAATTTTTACTTTACTTAACTTTACTTTTTACCACAGTTGCAGTCTTAGCTAGCTACATTATAAGCAATGTTCATGGGTAGAAACTGGTGAGGAAGTTGCTAAATTATGTTAAATATTTTAACAAATTAAAGGAAAGTTAGACCAAAAATGTTAGCCAGTGCTTATGCTGCAGCCCCTTAGTCGAAATGATATCTCCAAATGGGAACAGAAAAGACAATTTTATTTTTTATCAACAATATATTAAAAATCAATCAATAAACATAAAACCGAATAAATAATAAATAATATCCAACTAAATTTTGGCGCTAAACTAGATGGCCACGGTAACATCAAACATACCTATACATATTATAAATATACTTGAATTATTGAATAAAAACGTATGCTAGCAGCTAGCGCGCTGGTATAAAATAACAACTGTTAAAGTAGACCTGGGTCGAATGCTTTCATGGCCTTTTGACTGGTATGAAGAAATTAAAAATTGGCCAAGGAATAAGAACTTTAGGTCCCGAAATTTGGACCCCCAAGTGGTGTCAAAATCACTGAATAAATAAATATTGTTGAGATCTCTTGACACCACTTAAGGGTTAGACAGGTTCCTGCTAGTTCAACCAACACCTCAGGAATGTCTTTAACATTACTGGTGAAAATATAGTCTTACAAAAAAGGGATTCTGCCAAACACTGAGTACTCCCTTTAGGTTTAGCAATCTGAATACCATCTATTAATCTCAGAAGAAAATGTCGAAAATTAAGAGGCCAACCCTCGACCTAATTTTTATCAATTCTATGCCGAAAGAGTTTTGGGAAGACAGATCTGATAGGTAATTTTTTAAATGACTACATTTTTGTGTTAACTTTAATTTAATGAGACTATCATAAGTCTACTGATGGTTTCATTGTATTGCCTGCTTGTCACAGTGTCAGACCATACTTTACTCGTTTATGAGACCCAGCAATTGTGTAAATAATATAACTTTAATATATAATATAACTTTTTGAGTGAAACAAATATACTTATGACTTAAAGAACTCGTAGTTAGAATAACAAAAATTTCACTTCTTCTTCAAAAGACTCTGTGAAAGCTACGTGACCTTTGTTGTTTGTAGTCAATTGTTGACTGATCATGATTAAGAACACAAAAAAATATGCAGAAACTGCACGCAAAGACAAAAATAATGGCATGTTAGTAAGCAATTACAAATTATGGAAAAATTTTCACGCAGCCAAAGAGTTCATTGTATCACGTTGCGACCGGCCCCCACGGTTGCGACCCCCACGGTTGCGACCCCCACGTTGCGACCCCCACGGTCGTTTCCCCACTTTATCGTCCTGACGATACAGGGGGAGCCGCGCACTTCGTGCGCGGCGGGTCATACAACGTATGACAAAGAGTTCACATAGCCATGTGCCTACGCGTACTGCGTGACGCGCTTGTTTCACAAGTAGGATAGCGGCGGTCGCGCGCTACTGCAAGCGAGAGGGCTCTGGTTAGAGAAAGCCAAAGAGTAATAATAAATTATCATTGCATTGTAACCCTCGTGGTCGTTTCACTATAGTTTACTTTATCACGTTCATACGATACAGGGGAGTTGGCCATAGTTAATGGTCTGTCCCGGCGAAGAAATTAAGATGAGTAACATCCGTCAACAGGGGGAGCCGCGCACTCGTGCGCGGCAGGTCATACAACGCACGCAAAGAATTTATCTCAAATCGAAAATTATTAGAATAAAATGAACAAATAAATGTTACTTAAACAATGTCACGAATGTATGATTTCTTTAAAAAGCGTTTGTAGGTCAAAGCATCGCGCGTGCGCCGAGCTGCAAGCTGCGTTGCGTCTCATTGCCCGGCCAAATTTAGTTTTGATATTTGGAGGACTTCGCCGCTTCGACGCGCCGCGCAAACTAACATTCTTGCTTCGCATCAAAGCATTCGTCGTCGATCGTTGCTTTGCTTCGCAGAGCAACGATCTCGACGGATTGACATCGTCAATCAATTTTGACATTGAAAACAAATATTTGTTGCTATCATTAGCAAAATAGTTTTTTAATTAATGCAAAAAGATTAAAATAGAAGAAAAGCTTTTTAATTTTACTATATTTAAATTACTGATCACCGTAATTATCATGATCAATTATTTTAAAAAATTTTTGCTTCAATTTAACATTTAATAAAAGTGTATTAAACGGTACCATTACCATTTAAATTTCTTAGCAGAGCCAACCTCATTTAATTTTCAATGCCAGTTTCCAATTATTCGGATGAGTCGACCCACGACTGTCGCATAAAGGCTGCATATTTGATATTTAAAAAATGTGAGAGAGGGGGAAATTAAACATTTTAGTACATTTGGGATACAAAACCGTCAATTAAACCACTCGTAGCGCGATGCGTTACTGGGCCGCGCCGCGCACTCAATTATGCTTCTCGCAACGTACCAATCGCTAGATCGGCGAGATATGCGCTACTAGGCCTCGCCGAGCTGCGACATCGTCAATTAATTAAACCACTTACTATTTAACGGGTGATACTCGTAAAATATATGTTCCATACTCGTAAAATATCTGTTCCATAAATTGGCGCGCGTCCTGGTAGGTTGTAAACCTACAAGATTATTATAGTCTATGTAATAAGCGCCATGAGTTGGCACAGAATTTTTTGTCTCTGATTTTGATAAATCTGGTACCAAAAGTCTAGTTTCCTTTAACTGTGAATAATGAAAATTCACCGTGTAGCACGATAACGTCGAGATGTATGTGGGCCTCTTGTGCATTGCAAAATTGTACAAAGGACGAAAAATGGTTAATTTATTGCTTAAAATGCCTATAACTCCTAAAATATTGAATATTTTGAAATAATTCTTACAGGATCATAATGAACTTAAATCAGACGCAACTTTTGGTACCAAAATTATAATATTTAAAGCACCAAATTTTTCGAAAATTTGTTCAAAATTTTACACAAGGGGGGAACCCTTGTGTTCAGATTAAAAACTTTTGGAAAAAAATTCCTTTAAATCTTAAAATATTAGTACTAAAAGTTTTGTCTCGATGAGCTGATTACGATACCATAATAACTATGTGATAATAATTGAAAATGTGAAAGTTATAGGCCAAAAACTAAAAATTTGCGCGAAAAAAGCACGCGCGGCGAACAAGCGCCGTGTAGCATTTTTAGCGAAAATTGCTACACGGTGGATTTATTTAATTCACATTTTTAGACAACTTTTGGTACCAAATTTATCGAAATCGGAGAAAAAAAGTTCTGTGCTCGCGCTTGGCGCTTATTACACTGACTATTAGTTGCTGGGCCGCGCTCAGCCTGTCATTCCGCCAAATCTTTATTATGTTAATGAACATAATAGCCTGGGGTCCTCAGGTAAGATTATTAGTATCTTACTCTATATATATTTGTTGCCATTTTACTGACACCACAGCATTAACTTTAACACGACTTTCCGCAAAAACCTTGAGAGATATACAATTTAACCTTTTTTAGCTGACTCATATGCTTGAATGGCCTTTTTCTTGACCATTGTTAATGATCTGGCCCGGCGCGCGCTACTTCGTAGCTCGTGCCGTCGGGCCATAACATTTCGAGAAGAAAGCGGCGCGCGCTACTTCGAAGAAATTTAGACGAGTAACATCCGTCAACCTTTTTCCAGGGATTGATGGCTATAGTATATGTAGCGAGTCCCTAATATGCAAAGTTTCGATTAGAAATTTCATCGCAGTGAAAATAATTGGAATTTACTTCATTATAATAAATATTTCAGGATTATGGTTGACGGATGTTACTCGTCTAAATTTCTTCGAAGTTGCGCGCGCCGGGCCAGATCATTAACAATGGTCAAGATTATGGCTATTGTAAACTCGATAAAAGTATCATTTATGTTTCCATTGCCCTTATATCGAGGTTCTACTTGAATGTTACCTGAGGACCCCAGGCTTTAATGTTGGTAAACAACATAGAGATTAGGCGGAATGACAGGCTGAGCGCGGCCCAGTAACTTGGTATACGACTTTACCACTCTGTATACCAATCTAGACCTTCAGGTTGTACAGTCACTGCTTTTCGAGCTAATAGATCTCCTCTTTAGTAATACGAATAAATTTATTTGTGTTTCTCTGTATAAGAACAACAATTTTTTTTTTTTTTTTTTTTTTTTTTTTTTTTTTTTTTTTTTTTTTTTCTAAAAAGGAATATAACGGATACTTTTGTTTTTCTGCTGATAAACTCAAAACAGCTATTACATTTATTCTGTTTAACACTTTTGTTTGTTTTGGGGATCAGATTTTAAGACAAACGAAAGGCATTCCCATGGGAGGGAATTCTAGTAGCCAGTTCGCTGATCTTTCGCTAGGGAAGTGTGAATTCAACTACATGACACGCCTAATCAAAGAAAAGAAGTTCGGTCTCGCTAAGCTCCTCTCAAGAAACTGCAGATATGTCGACGACCTCAACACCATGAACTATTTGCATTTCTCTAACCTAATCAGGTCCATTTATCCACCTGACCTGCTTATAATAATAATAATTACAACATTTATAAACCGCCTTATAGCTAAATCATATAATTCGATATAATTTAATCCTGGAGATAAACTCCAGTGCTTTCTAAAGCGGCTCTTACATTAACTGAGCTTAGTTTAATTGAAAATTAGACATGACAAGTTCATTTTACCTATGTAAATGCAAAATCAATCAAATGCTAGAGAAAAGAAGTATGTTTTAAGTTTGGTCTTGAAAGATGTAACTGA